GCATTAAGGAACTGAGTGATTAGGTCAGAGCCATGAGCTAAAATGGTGGGGGATCTTAGATAATTAGGATTCATTTATATAATCAAAAATACTTATTGAGCACCCACTATGTGTCAGGAACTATTCTAGGCAGTAGGAAAGCACACTCAGCAAGATGGACATGGTCCTTGCATCCTAGAAACTTGCATTCTAGGAATGACTATAAATGTATATATACACAAGAGATTTTAATTTAGTAGAAAGTCCTTTAAAATAATAAAATGTCACCAAAACCTGTTTGGCTCAGTGGATAGAGCATCAGCCTGCAGACTGAAAGGTGCCAGGTTTGATTCCGGTCAGGGCATGTACCTTGGTTGCGGGCACATCCCCAGTAGGAGGTGTGCAAGAGACAGCTCATTGATGTTTCTAACTCTCTATCCCTCTCTCTTCCTCTCTGTAAAAATTCAATAAAATATATTAAAAAGATAATAATAAAATACCTTGAGAACTATGGTTGAGAGTGAATGTATAGTTAGACAGGGCCTCACTGTGCAAATGGCATTTGAGCTTAAACCTGAATGAATGAAGGCAGAACTCTGCTTAGGAACATGTGCAGTAAGACTGGACCAAACAGAGGGAACATCAAATGCAAAGTTCCAGGTGAGAGGTGAGAGACAAAGCAAGGATGGCTGGAGCAAACATTCTTTGAACATTGGTTTGAAATGACCTGGAAGAAGTAGGGAGAAGCAAAATGGATTGCAAAGGACCTTTTAGGCCATGCACACACAGATGTCATTGAAAGAAAAAGCTGCTAAACTAAAAAGCAGAAGCCAAAATAAGCAATAGGGTAAACTATCATTAGTGCCCCAACAAACTAGTAAAGTTAATTACCAAAGAGGATGCATGTCATCACTTTCAATATGTTTTGGCATGCAGTACAATGTTGGTCTGAGAGGTTACATGTGCTCCATGTTCTTAGGTACTGCCTTATCCATTTCTTATCAAAGACACAGTGCACTATGTCTTCAAATGGATTCTAATATAAACCAGTGGATGTCATGGAATGATACTGGACCCAGAGCCAGAAGGTAGGGATAAAGTTTAAGTTGCATGACTACACTATATCTACTTGAAAGACCTTGGGCTTTGCTTGGCCTCATTGATACTTTTCCTTATCTTTAAGTATAAAGTAATTGCTACCTCAAAGGGCAATTAAACAAGATAATGTATCTTAAAGGTCATTAGAAATTATAAAGCATCACCTCAATATTTCTTATTTTATTTGTTTTAAATTCTTTTTAACATAGTCTGTTAAAATTTCTCGTCATTGTTGTTTTTTAGTAAAACCACTAGAGGTCAGAATTTCACATAAATTGTTTAAAGAAACTACCAAGGTAGAGAAAAAAAGAAAAGAAAAAAAGAAAAAACCTACCAAAAACATACCTACTAAGAAGAATAAAATAACAAATTTAAGGCAAAGAAATAAAAATAAAGGTAGCTTTACACAAGGAAGTTTTGATAACTGGAATAATTTTTATCTCAAAATTGTTACTCAACAGACTTACATAGGGAGAGGAAAAAAAAGATAAATAAAATTTAAGTACCTACTTACCATGTCTATACATTGATTTATCTTACATTATTTTAAAAATAGGTCTATGAGTAAGGTTCATTTTATAAATAAGAAGACTGAAGCATAAATAGGTGTAATAATATACTGAAGACCAAACAGATTGAATTTAGTTACACTTGGGAAATAATACAGTGAAATATGGTGCCTCTATATTGGACAACATATTATATGATGGGTTAACCTAACTGTTTTTGCACCTTCAAGGCTAAAGAATTTTTTAGTTTCAAGGCTCTGCAAATGAATGTAGGGAAAACTCCTTGTATTGTCTGTTTGAATATCTAGAAGTTTCTGAGCTCACTGCTGGTAAATATGAATTATGATAACTAGCCATGGGGAAGCATTTAGAATAGCTTGATTTTAGAAATAATGTATTGAGCAGAAACAACAGCCATTTAAAATGTTTACTTGGCCATCAAACTTGGTCTTTTTATGTTCTTTCCTCCTTCACTTTGTAGAGCTAACTATACAAAGCTGCATTGTTCAAGAGTGGGGAGGGACTATCACCATGCTTATGAAAGAATTAGGTAGGGTAGATGGCAGTTTATATTTGGAGAAGACAATGTCTTATTTGTTGTGCACGCATTTAGACGGTGCTCAGAGCAGAGGCAGGATAGTAGTGACTATGCTCATGTTACACCGTGTGTACACATAGGCAATCCACAAAGAAAAAAAAAAGTTAGCTGGGCCCTGACACTAAGAGTTTGAAATATAGATATAAGTTCTAGGACAAGTTCAAGTTCTTCCTTAGTTGGAAACCTTTAGCATCTCATATGATGCTTGGCATTTAGTAGGAGTCAGTACATTCTAGAATCATGGGATGTCTTTAATAAGAAAGGTACTTAGAATCCATTGGATGAAAAACCCCAAGGCTCTGGGAGAATAAGAAGCAATCAAGAAACTAGAAACACCAATTAGAAAGGATATATATGCACCCTTATGTTCATAGCAGCACAATTTACTATAGCTAAGATTTGGAAACAGCCTAAGTGCCCATCAGCAGATGAGTGGATTAAAAAACTGGTACATCTACACAATGGAATACTATGCTGCGGAAAAAAAGGATTCTTATCATTTGCAATAGCATAGATGGAACTGGAGAGCCTTATGCTAAGTGAAATAAGCCAGTCAGTGAAAGATAAATCCCACACGATCTCACTCATTTATGGAATATAATGGACAACATAAACTGATGAACAAAAACAGATTCAGAGTCAGAGAAATATAAATCAGACCATCAAACCTTAGAGGGAAGGTAGAGGAGGGTGGGGGTAAGAGGGAGAGATCAACCAAAAGACTTGTATGCATGCCATATAAGCCTAACCAATGGACACAGACAACAGTGGGGTGAGGGCATGAGTGGGGGGGATAGTGAGGGTAATGGGGGAATAAGGACATATGTAACACCTTAATCAATAAAGAAATTAAAAAAAATAGTTTTCTTCAGTAATACACACTTTTAGAAAAGCAATCACATTGGGTTCTTAACGGACTTGGTTCTGGAACCCAGGATTTATAAAAACTCCCTGAACATTTCTTCCCCAGGAGCACTCACTTCTTCACTCTGTCATATTTCTGGCTTGTAATCATCTCATGATTTCCACACAGGCTCAGGAAGAGCGTTACAGAGGTTTTCATTGTTTGAAATCTTAACAGAGTTTCTAATGTGGAGATGTTTTCTATTGAGCAAAGAAGTGAAGGTATACACTCTTATGGTGGACACCCTACTGGCATCTAACAAATATTAGTTACCCTCTGATCTCCCTCCTAAATCATATGTCTCTTCATCGCTCATGACATTAATATATAGTATTTAATGCATATTAAGCATATTCTTGTGCCTAAAAGAATGCTTGGCACTTAGTATATATTCCATATATTGGAATTGGGATGAATTGAATTGTTGAACATTATATTTTGGACATTATTTTAACAACACGTTGTCCATTCTTCTTCCAGTTTGAAAACTGCAGTTTTCCCGCAAGAAAAACATCTTAACAGTTCTATTACGAAATGGATTCTCCTATTTGCAGGAACATGGGAAGTGTTAATTTTCAGCATTCTCTATGATACTCTAGGAATAATACAAAGAATAACACAAAGTTTCCTATATTCCATGGAAAGTTCAATAATGGTTTTAAGTAAACACTTTACTTCTCACCAAAACTTTCTTTTCTAAACACTTGCCCTCAGATTATTCATTAATTCACCCAAGAAATTATTAGGAAGCCCCAAGGTCTCATTGTTCCCCCTGCATTTATTTTGCGGTAGCAAAGGTTAACACTTGGATCGCAATCTTATGAGGAAATTAATTCACTGATTAAGAAAAATGCACTTTAAGCAATACACATTTAAATAACTGACAAGCACAGGGCGATGCATTTCTGGGATTTTTTTTTAAAGACCCTTTTTTTCTACTTAAAATTTTAAGCAGCTATAATTCCTCTGCCCTATAGCCTGGAGGAACATCGCATGAATTACTAATGAGAGAGCACCAATTTGCACTGTAGTGACCACTCTCAGAACCAAAGGGTCAGAGCTGAAGCCAGGAAAACAGCAGCACTTTTCATCAACCGGTTGCTTGAAGCACAATTAGCCCTTGGCTCCACTTGAAAAAAAAAAACTTGCAATGTTCTATCATCCCTCAGCAGACGGCACTTGGCCCAAAGACTTCACTTTCAAATAAAGAAATATTCATTTGTATACTATCTCCACTCCTCGACAAAACTTTCCCTCTGCATTGGAACCCAGCAGCCTGTTAATTTATGAAATATAAAAAAGGTTTACTATTTACTTCTCTGAGCTTTGCCTTGAGGCATTAAAGCACAGTAGGAAAAAGGAGTTGGTTTTTAAAGGAAAGGATTCCTGAAGACTAGTATCTTGCTCATGTGTGTCTTCCTCTAGAGCAGCTCAGAAATGTCCCCTTGCCCTGGATCAGTTCCATCATATCCCTCCCCTGCAGTCCCACCACCTCCTAATATTCTCCTACCTAACATCAAGGGAGATTTAAAAATAATGGGTCAGCTGAAACTGGTTTAGCTCAGTGGATAGAGCGTCGGTCTGCGGACTGAAGGGTCTCGGTTTGATTCAGGTCAAGGGCATGTACCTTGGTTGCAGGTACATCCCAGTTGGAGGTATGCAAAAGGCAGCTGATCGATGAGTCTCTCTCATTGATGTTTCTAACTCTCTATCCCTCTCCTTTCCTCTCTGTAAAAAAAAAAAATCAATAAAAAAATATAAAATAATAATAATGGGTCATTGATTTTCCAAAATATATTAAAAAATGGAAGGAACTAGGGAGGGGGGGAGTTATTAAGAGCTAGAATGGGGCTGAGAGCTGAAGGAAGACCGCCTCCTTATTAGAGATGGAAAGTTGACTTTCCTTCCTTACCTTTGGGTCCTGGTGAGATGGTGTGTGTAGCACAGACTTCAGTGGTAGGATGACTCTCCATGTCCAGACCCAGACTCTGAATGTGCAGAAGAAAGAGCACGAGGAGGACAAACTTGTGCCTCCGAAGTGAGATTCCAAAGCCACCCATGGCTATGGCGCTTCCAAAAAGGGTCGCCCAGAGGTGCCAAGTAAACAGCTTTATTTGAAATAAAATCTTCTCTCTGGGGAAGAAAGTGAAGTGTCTGGAGAACACAGTGCAAAACGGCCTGCAAAGAGAAGGAGACACATCCTGGGTTGTTTATCTTGCCAGTATTCCAAACGGACCCTACATTGTCCAGATTGTTTATTTTCAAATGACAACAGTTTATTGAAAATTATCTCTGAACTAAATAATCAAGGGTGCAGGTCAGTAGAAACATTTCAAGGAACAGGGACGAGAGAGAGAGAGACGCCTTCTGCTCAGTACATGAGCTGACAATTTAATACCTTATCTGCAGTGAAATGGTGGGGTTCCGGACAGATTGAGCCAGAGTTTTGTTGAATGACCTCCATGTCACATAAGCAGTATGCATGGCTTTGAATTTTTTCTAAGGAAATATTTATAAACAGCAAAGCTCCCACAGCTCTTCATGACTTGATTTCTTTCTCTTGCTACAAGTAATTTTCTTGGGATTTAACCCCAAAGGAAAGAATACCAGCTTTACTGCAAGCAATTTTGGCAATAAGTATCAAGAATATTAAAAATGTTTTTATAGCCTTTGGCCTAGTTATTGCCCTTCTGGTACACTATCTTAAGAAAATATTCTGAAATTTGGACAAAGCTGTATTTGAAAAGATGTCACAAAGAGGGGAAAGGAGCAACGATTACCTAAAAGTATGTAATGGTTGGAAAATCCTCCTAAATACTAACATGAGAGAGTATGACATGACAATTTTATTAAAATTATGTTTGTAGCAAGTGTTTGATAAAATGGAGAAAAAACTAATGGTATTGTATTTATTAAAAAGCATGATAGATATAGATAAGAAAGTTAAAGTAATAGAGGTATCTATCTATCCATCTATCTATCTACTGTATCTATCATCTATCATCTATCTATCCATTCACACACATATATTCCATCCACCCATAACTTGTATAAATAGCTTAGTCATAGTAAGATACTGAAAACGCAGAACCAGAACCACATATAGTAGGCAGATGCCTTACTTTCTCAATTCATGAAGAGGCATATTAACTAAGAGTTGGGTCAGTGGGGTTTTGGGCCTACTTTTCAAAGATCATGGGAAAGCCTAATAAAGAATTATTCTTAGGAGAGACAATGTTCAGTGTAAGAAACATAGGTGCATTTGTTTCCTAGGGCTTCTGTAACACAGAACCACAAACTGAGTGGCTCAAACAACAAAAATTTATCATCTCACAGAAGTTTGAGATCATGTGTTGAGTGGTGGCCCCATAAAAGATATGTTTACACTGTAATCACTGGGTCCTGTGAACATGATTGTCTTTACAGTTGAAATTAAACTAAGGATCTCAAGATGAAATAATCCTGGGTTATCTAGATTGGCCCTAAATCTAATGACAAGTGTCCTTATAAGTGACACCCAAAGAAGCAACACAGGGATAACAGGAGAAGGCCCTGAAGACAGACACAGAGATTGAAGTTATGCAGCCACAAGCTAAAGCCACCAGGAACTAGAAGAGGCAAGGATGCATCTTTCCTTGAGGCTTCAGAAGAAGTTTAGTCCTGCTGACACCTTGATTTGGTACTTCTGGCCTTCATGACTGTGAGATAATAAATGTCTGTTGTTTTAAACCATCCAATTTGTGGTAATGTGTTATGGCAGCCCTGGGAAGCTAATGCACCATTCTTCTGATTCTCATGCACAGTTACTGGAAGGAATGACACATCAAAAAACTTAGTGCCTGACAGAGACCGAGCAACATCTGTTCTTATGCATTTTAATTATTATGCATCCAGCTTAGAAGGTATCTGGAGGGAAATAAATACAGGATATGAAACAAGCATATCTTAAGACAAGTCTAGTTAAAACAGGATAGCAACAAAATCACAACCTCACCTCCTGAAGGAATTTCCTGATAAATTGAAATAACTCAATTTTGGACTTGGTTCATTCACGTACATATCTTATTGGATTAAAGTTATCTCATGTGAATTAATTTAACTAACTGCCATTTGTAAAAACTGGAACTTAGTAGAATGGCTTTTAAAATGACACATATTAAAAAAATAAAAATAAATAAAATGACACATATTTAGAAATCAACATGATAAACATACTTATAAAATTATTTTATATTTTTGTTTTAAGTTTTATACTTATAAAAACATATTTTAAAAAATTAAATTCTTTTTTTTTTTTAATCCTCACTGAGGATACATAGCTGTGAGACAGAAACATTGATCAGTTACCTCCGGTACATGCCCCAACCAGGGATTGAACCTGTAACCTCTTGGTGCATGGGACAATGCTCCAACCAACCAAGCCACCTGGTCAGGATAAAAACCAAATGGTTTTAACTGACATATGCGCCTCCTACTATTTCCACCCCACTTCTGATTTTTACTCCCTCAAGAAAATTATTTCAATAATTTTAGTGCTTCCTATTTTATCTCTTTAATATTTTTAAATATTAATATTAACATTTTAATATTTTTAAATAACAAATGTGTACTGATGTTCTTGATGTTTTAACTTTTTTTTCAATTTAAATACTCATTGCCTTCTTTATATGGAAGATGGGTTCTTTTTTCATCCCTAGCTCTGCATCCCTCTCCTCATACATTTTTTTTCTTTCTCTTTGTAATTTAATAGTATTATAATTTTAATGTAAAATTTAATGTTTATATTATAATGATGCTATAAAAATAATTCATAGCTGAATCGCATGTGCATTATAATTACATTTTGTTTCTTGTACTAATTTCATTTTCACAAGGTTTAATAATTGCATTGTTTTCATTTGCATAGCTTTCTATGTACAAATCCCAAAATAACTACTTTGAGATTTGTCAGTTCTGTGGAAAAAGTAAAATGTTCAATTGGCTTCGATTGCTTTTCTTAGAAATACTTTTCTGAAATTTTCATGCTTCTTGCTCAAGTTGGATCTGGTATTTGTCAGGCTTGTGCAAAATTATCTTAGGACCTGCCTTTATTTTTTGGGATCTGTTACAACTCCTTTTTCTGTATCCACATATTTCTTTTTCTTGGTTTCATCCCTCATTTTGTTGTAATATGTCTTTCAGTAATTTTCCTGTAGTATGTCCTTCAGTAAGAAAATAGACAAGTCACAGACTTGAAGAAAATATTTGCAAGTCATGTATCAATAAAGGATTTGTACCCAATAGAATAATAAGAATACAAATGACTAAATAAAAAGAGTGAAGTTGCAAATACATTTTTGAGGCATTGCATGTCTGAAAATCTGATCATTCTACCTCCAAATTATGTAATATTTTAGCTGAATATAGATTTCCAGGTGTAAAAATGTTGTTCTATTTTCTTCTGGTTTCCAGTGCTGCTGCTGTTGAGACATTCAATGTCATTCAAATTCTCTATACTTTATACAGGATATGTCTTTCCTTGTTCTGGAAGCTTTTAGGAGCCTTTCTTCATAGCTCGAGTTCTGAAATTTTTAGTAATATGTCCTTAATATTGGCTTTCTTTGCATTCACTGCATTGGATTATCTGTAGTTACTTTTCTATTGCTTCTTCTATTCTCTGTAATTGTAGATTTTTTTTTTATCCCATTATGTTATTTTGGTGACATTCTGAAGGGATAAGAGTATAAAAATGTAGAATCAGACTGCCATATGGACTCAGATATTCCAAAGATTACCTTTTAATATAGTTTCAAAAAACTATATTAAAAGATATGTTGAACCTCATCTTAGCACGTGTGTAGATGCGTTAAGATGAGGTTCAACATGCCTACTCATTCCACTAAATATGAGTGTTGGGGAGGGAATTCCAGGAATGGCCATGAGAAGAGATCAGAACATTCTTTCTACATAACATCAATGAAACCAGACAAAATTATTAAAACAAAACAAACAAAAAACACACACACACACACAAAAAAACCCCACATTTCTGGGTCCTGACAATTGACCAAAGCAAACAACAAGTTTAGAAGTATTTATTCTTGAAAGATGCCATAACTTTTTGGAAAAACAGTGAGAGTATGAGGACTTTATGAATGAAGCTAAATCCATCCCTCTCTTCATCTTGCTAGGTGAGAATAGCAGTATTATCAGCACAAGGATGGCCACAAAATCCATCAGCTTTGCTGCCATGGGCTGACTCAACATGGAGTGGGGTATGAAACACACTAACAAATTTATGTAAGTGACTAGTGAGCACAGAAATAAATCTTCACATTAATTGTTGACAAAGGTACCAAGTCAATTTAGTGAGGGAAATAATAGTATTTTCAATAAATGTTGCACTGGAAAATTGGGTAGCCACATGAAAAGAAATGAACAATATCTAACACTGTATACAAAAATTAACTCAAAATGGATCAAGACTTAAACATAAAAGACAAAATTATAAAACTTATAGAATACATAAGAGATCTTAATAACCTTGGATTAGGCAAGCATTTCTTAGATACTAAACCAAAGCCATAGTTTATAAAATTTTTGATAAATCATTCTACTTGAAAATATAAAATATTTGTGTTTCAAGACAATAATAACAACATGCCATTAAGAAAATAGACAAGTCACAGACTGGAAGAAAATATTTGCAAGTCATGTATCAATAAAGGATTTGTACTCAATTGAATAATAATACAAATGACTAATAAAAAATAACACATAAGCTAAAAACTTTAACAGACACATCTACAAAGACAATAAATATCTAATATCTGTATGAAAAAGTGCCCCAAATCACTACCCATTAAATTCCAGTAAGATACTACTACACACAGAAAAGACTGGCCATAATAAAAAAAATGGGACAGTACTAAGTGTTGACTAGAATGTGATAAAGTAAAACCATCATTCATTGCTAATATGGATGTAAAATGGTACAGCCACTTTGGAAAAAACAGTTTGTAGTTTCTTAAAAATTTAGATATAAATTTAAAATACAACCTAGTAATTCAAATACCCAGGAGAAATTACAGCATATTTTCACACAAATGCTTGTACATAAATGTTCACAACAGTATTATTCATGATAGTAAAGAATTGGAAAGAATTCAAATGTCCAACAAACAGTGAATGGATTTCAT